ATGCTTTTATGGTGCTACACTCAATATGCCAGCAAATTTGGAAAACTCAGCAGTGGCCAGAGGATTGGAGAAGATCAGTCTACATCCCAATCCCAAAGAAGGGCAGTGCCAAAGAATGCTCCAACCACCGCACAATTGCACTCATTTCACACGCTAGCAAGGTTATGCTTAAAATTCTACAAGGCAGGCTTAAGCAGTATGTGGACCGAGAACTCCCAGAAGTGCAAGCTGGATTTCGAAGGGGTAGAGGAACCAGAGACCAAATTGCAAACATGCGCTGGATTATGGAGAAACTAGAGAGTTCCAGAAAGACACCTACTTCTGCTTCATTGACTATGCAAAAGCCTTTGACTGTGTCGACCACAGCAAACTATGACAAGTTCTTAAAGAAATGGGAGTGCCTGGTCACCTCATCTGTCTCCTGAGAAATCTCTATGTGGGAGAAGAAGCTACAGTTAGAACTGGATATGGAACAACTGATTGGTTCAAAATTGGGAAAGGAGTACGGCAAGGCTGTATTTTGTCTCCCTGCTTATTTAATTTATATGCAGAATTCATCATGCGAAAGGCTGGGCTGGATGAATCCCAAGCCGGAATTAAGATCGCCGGAAGAAATATCAACAACCTCAGATATGCAGATGACATAACCTTGATGGCAGAAAGTGAGGAGGAATTAAAGAACCTTTTAATGAGGGTGAAAGAGGAGTGTGCAAAATATGGTCTGAAGCTTAACATCAAAAAAACGAAGATCATGGCCACTGGACCCATCACCTCCTGGCAAATAGAAGGGGAAGAAATGGAGGCAGTGAGAGATTTTACTTTCTTGGGCTCCATGATCACTGCAGATGGTGACAGCAGTCATGAAATTAAAAGACACCTTCTTCTTGGGAGAAAGGCGATGGCAAACCTAGACAGCATCTTAAAAAGCAGAGACATCACCATGTCAACAAAGGTCCGTATAGTTAAAGCCATGGTTTTCCTGGTAGTGATGTATGGAAGTGAGAGCTGGACCGTAAAGAAGGCTGATCGCCGAAGAATTGATGCTTTTGAATTATGGTGCTGGAGGAGACTCTTGAGAGTCCCATGGACTGCAAGAAGATCAAATGCATCCATTCTTAAGGAAATCAGCCCTGCGTGCTCACTGGAAGGACAGATGCTGAAGCTGAGGCTCCAATACTTTGGCCACCTCATGAGAAGAGAAGACTTCCTGGGAAAGACCCTGATGTTGGGAAAGATTGAGGGCACAAGGAGAAGGGGACGACAGAGGATGAGATGGTTGGACAGTGTTCTCGAAGCTACAAACATGAGTCTGACCAAACTGCGGGAGGCAGTGGAAGACAGGAGTGCCTGGCGTGCTCTGGTCCATGGGGTCACAAAGAGTTGGACACGACTAAATGACTAAACAACAACATTGGTGATATAACAAGTAAATACTCCACTTTGTTTCTAAAATTATCTCTTCTGCAAAGATTTCATTAGTCATTTACTCAGACCTTCCAAGTGTCCCTAGTTTCCAGAGACAGTCCCAGATTTACAGAAGCTGCCCTGGTTTCTGATTTGATCCCAGAATGTCACGCTTTTCCTTAGAACGTCCCTATTTTCATTGGAGTTGGAGTTATGAAGGCAGCCCTGTATAGGGAATTTTAAAAAAAAAGTTTAATAATTTATTATGCTTTTATCAGCACCTGGTTAAACCCTGTGGAGGCCTGTAGGCCGTCGAAATCTCAGGGTGCTCCTTGCAAATTATCTTCTAATACATTTTTGTACTTTCCTTTCAAGATCAAATCAATATTATTTTGATCTGTTGTTGCAGGGCCCCTAAAAGACATGGGACCCGTAGGCTGGTGCCGACTGCCTATTTGGTAATCTGGCACCGGCTTTTATGTATGTTGGAATTCGCCCAGTGTGGCTGGGGTAACCCAGTTGAAAAAGGTAAAGGGACCCCTGACCATTAGGTCCAGTCGTGGCCGAATCTGGGGTTGCGGCGCTCATCTTGCTTTATTGGCCGAAGGAGCCGGTGTACAGCTTCCGGGTCATGTGGCCAGCATGACTAAGCCGCATAATATAAATAATAATGGTATTATCATCATCATCATCATTATTATTATTATTATTATTATTATTATGGAATAGGACGTGCCTATTTTCATCGGAAAATGTTGGAGGGTATGTTTACTCAGTTGATTGACTGAAATTAGAAACCACTTAAAAAGACAAGAAATTTGCTTAAATAGAATTTGTTTTGTGGATTGTTTCCCATAACAAGCTATATGCTGCAGGCTTGGCGGTTAATTCAAATGACTGTGCATCTGTAAAATTTATTTTTACAGTTCTAATCATCATTTACTAATTATGCCTTTTGTGCTCAGTGTTTTATTAGCAATATAGTATTTTACTGTTGTATTTCTATTCATAAAATGTTTATAAATGCAACATGTACGTTATTATTTTCCCCTGTTTGGGAAAAATAACATTTTCTCTCCCTCTTTTCCCATGCTTTATAACATTTTTAAAATTCTTCATGATATGTGTGGTGAATGTTTGGTTTCATAACATGCATAATTAATTACAAGTAATGACATCAAGGGAACCATTTTCTTTTGGTGATTTAATATTAATGAATTAATGATGAGGAATACAAAGATGCCGGATTGGCTATGTATAAAAATAATTGGCAGTTTTTATATTTATAGAAATAATGTATGGAAAAAATATTTGCATTATTCACAATACCAATTTGTTTTCAAAATATGCTTTGCTACTGGAAATGAAGAAGGGTTTCTGCTTCCTTTTTTGTGTGAGTTTAGCAGATTTCCTTGTTACCAAGGCACTCCCGTTTAATTTGCTTTGGAAAAGTATGCAGGTGCCTTTTAGATTTGGCTGTAAATCATGGGTTGGATCCACGTTTAGATCCATTAAAATCAGTGTGGGTTATGTTAGTCATGATTAACTTAAGTCCGATTGATTCTGATGAATCTACACTAAGCATGACTACAATCCTAGCCACTTACCTAGGAGTAATCCCCATTCAATAGGACTTGCTTCCGAGTAGACATGATTAGGAGTGCGCTATTAGTCTGGATTCAACCAGTTGACTTCTTGAGTAGGCCAAGGCCAAGGTTTGAGAAGTGCAAATTAGGTCCTTTCTCACTAAGGTGCAAACAAAATCTAATTTCTCCCCTATCTCTATCAGGTATTACCAGTTAGTTGGTGGGAGAATGGTGCATTGCTTCATGTGGGCAGCTGGACAGACTGTAACTCCTCACACTTCCCAATGATAGAGGGGAGATCTTATGGAATTCTATGGGGATGATGACTTCTCTGTCGCCCTTGCTGCTACTGCTGCTCTGACTGCTTCATTCACTATAGAAAACCGAATAAATGTACAATCTAATGTACACTAATAGTGAACATATCCATGCACTTAACATATCCATGCACTTAAGAAGGAGGCTTCAGCAAGCCTGGGGTAACCCAGGAGTAACCCTAAACTTTGCAGAAGTACAAAAAGGGCAGGTTTCCCCAAACAGCCCACTGAAGACTGAGAATGCTCAGTGGACACAGAATGTTGACTGACTGTTGGAAGGAGGCAATGGAGTGTCATGGAAGATGAGGCGGCTGGCTGGGAATTTGAACAGTCCACACTGTAACATTTTGTTGCAGGCTCCATTTGTGCTTTCCATTTGCTTTAGTTTCCCCTTCATCTACATCCACATTATATTTCACGCTGCACACATTTATTAGATAATGTCATATTGATTTTAAACTAAGCCCAGCTCTAAGAAAGAGATCTTTGGAGCACAACCCAAGGGAGGAAAGCAGGAAAAACAAGATATTGCATTGCTATGAACCTGTTTTGTTAAACAAGTTCAGCCACTATTGGGACGCGGGTGGCGCTGTGGTCTAAACCACAGAGCCTAGGGCTTGCCAATCAGAAGGTCAGCGGTTCGAAGCCCTGCGACTTGGTGAGCTCCTGTTGCTCGGTTCCTGCTCCTGCCAACCTAGCAGTTCGAAAGCACGTCAAAGTGCAAGTAGATAAATAGGTACTGCTCCAGCGGGAAGGTAAATGGCATTTCCATGCGCTGCTCTGGTTTCGCCAGAAGCGGCTTAGTCATGCTGGCCACATGACCCGGAAGCTGTACACCGGCTCCCTCGGCCAGTAAAGCGAGATGAGCGCCACAACCCCAGAGTCGTCCGCGACTGGCCCAAACGGTCACGGGTCTCTTTACCTTTACCTCAGCTATTATTACAATATGTAGGATGCATGCACATAAAGTCTGCTTTTGGTTTAACTGAAAATGAAAATTGTACTGTATCTTAATTCATAAACAATGTCCAATTTTATTATGACTTTCCAATGCCAATATCTAGAATTCCCTAAGGAATTTCCACGGGGATCCCCATGAGACTTAAATCATAGTACTCTGGTTTAAACTGAATTAGGATGAACATGCTGCTTCACTGTGTTTGCTTTGTTTAGAAAACATAAGAAAATGAACTAGTTTTTATTAGCCAATTAAAAAACCCAGTTAATTCCATCCAGTGCTTTTTTCTGGGGGGTATGCAGGGGTACGCATACCCCTAAACATTTTGTGAATCTTTATACTTTTGTCCATTTACTGTATTTATTTTTCCTGCATTGAACTATAAAATGGTGGTTTTCTTGAGTCAAAATGAGAGTACTCTTAAACATTTTTTTTTTTGGGGGGGGGGAAGCACTGATTCCATCCAAAGGGCAGCAAATCTAAAGGCAAAAGACACACCAATATCTGAAAAGGGTAAATGCTGTGACATTTTGGCTGTATTTAAAAAAAAATCCCCTGACTTAACCCTCAAGGATTCATCTTTGGCCACAAGATGCCAGTGGTACAGTATCTTCTTCCCATAACTTAAATACTTTGCCTGAAAGGATATCACTAGTAAGGACTGAAAGAGGAGAACATGGGTTCAGTTCCCAATTGAAAACTATCCTGTGCTTCTTTTTTTTCTTTTCTCAAAAGACACAGAAGGAAAGGATGTTAAATCACTCTAAAATCCCCAGGCAAGCAAATGTCTGCTGCACCAGAGAACATCCACCACCTAAGAGGTATTTGTGAAGTTTCTTCAAAACCAAATGGCTTTGGAAATAATGTAGCCGCTTTGGAATCCTCAGGCCTGTTTTGTCCAAAAAAGAAATCAAAACACTGCCTTAAGCTAATCGTTTAAATATATGTGCATGGTATTCAATTAAGTTTTACTTAGAGTAAACCCAATTAAATTAGTGAACATGACGAGATCTGTCTGTTCTTTTCCATGGACCTACTCTGAGTAGAATTTAGTCGAATATCACCCAAGAACCTCCAAATTTCTGTGGCTTTTCTGACACCAGGAACCTTGTCATGTACAACTTCTTAAACAGCATGTAGGTGGCAAGTTTAAGATAGTAACCTATGCACCCTGTGCATTAGTTCAGAGGGGCTTACTTTCAAGCAAACATCAGCCTGCCATACCCATTTCTATATACTTTTCCCATTGTTTCATTGCAGCCTCTCCTTCCTGCTTCTCCTGCAGAAAAAAGAAACGTTTTCTGCAAGTCTGCTATTACTCTACTTCTATGAGTTTTGAGTCTGCCAGAGGCAGACACGCAGAGACCCATATGGAAACGAAAAAAAGAACAGATGTGTGGGTGGGCGTATATTATGTGCTGTGCACACACAGTGTCTCCTTGCAGGCTGAATGTGCTGGGCTGGTTGCAGAGGCTGTAAATTCTTTCCTGCCTGGCTGAAGAAGTGAAGCTCCCCATGGCATCACATATTCATTCCTTCTTCACATCCAAAAAAACTTGGGAAGTTTTGGTTGTTGTTTTTAAAAAACAAACAAAAAACCCCTGTGATGTAAAAATTCTAGTTAGGCCAGAAATTTGATGCTGTATAAACAAGAAAAAACAATTGTCCCTATTGTTCTATGCTGCCATAACATAGTAGCAATATGTAGGGAGCGGGTGGCGCTCTTAACCACTGAGCCTCTTGGACTTGCCAATCAGAAGGTCGTTGGTTTGAATCCCCGCGATGGGGTGAGCTCCCGTTGCTTTGTCCCAGCTTCTGCCAGCCTAGCAGTTCGAAAGCATACCAGTGCAAGTAGATAAATAGGTACTGCTGCGACAGGAACTTAAACGGCATTTCCGTGTGCTCTGGCTTCTGTCATGGTGTTCCGTTGCGCCAGAAGCGGTTTAGCCATGCTCACCACATGACCTGGAAAGCTGTCTGTGGACAAACGCTGGCTCCCTCAACCTGAAGCAAGATGAGAGCCACACCCCAGAGTTGCCTTGGACTGGACTTAACCATCCAGGAGTCCTTTATCTTTAGTAGTAATATACAGAAATTATTCTGAATTAAGGGCACTCAAATATTAATTAATGTCCATGTTTGTTTGTTTGTTTGTTTGTTTGTTTGTTTGTTTGACAAGATCTCAGGGCGGTTAATAGATTTTTAAAAACCAACGATTTCCCATTCTACTCTTTTAATTCCTGTTTTATGTATGGGATTGGGTAATCCCGTATATATTGGGTCATCCTCTTTAATACCCATTAACTGTTAGAATATGCTAAGCATTGGCTGTTATTTTTGCCTTTTTTACATTAAGTTGTTAAGACAGCCTCCATCGAATAAATTTTATAATCTTCCTTGACATTTTCCTCTTCTTATCAGCATCATTTTGATCCTTCGTTCATGGCAATGGTAAATTATTTGTTCTACAGCAGCACTGGGGAACCTTTGGACTCCAGTTCCTATCTGCTCCAGCCAGCATGGCCAATGTTATAATCCAAAGGAGACCCTGCCTTCCATAAGAAGGAGTATAACCAGTCTCAAAAATGGGAATTGACAGCAAATCAACATTTCCCTATTTCTCAATGGAAGGAAACAATGAGAATTCTAATATGTAACCAGAAATGTAAAAGAACCCTCAAACCATTAAATAGAATGTCAAAGGCTGCCAAGGACAAAGACAGAAAAGAATGTGATTATCTATTCAGTGTATTTCATCAACTGGGTAGCTTTTGGTCGTTTCATTTTAGGAGGACTGAGAATGGCACTGAGAAACACAAAAATGTGATCATGCGGCGTAGATGAAGTATTTTTGTACAAAATGTTAAAAATACTACTGCTCTTTAGCTTGAAAAAAAGAGAGGTAGTTAACTGGAAATATGATAGAGGTATATGAAACCACAAAAGCTCTTGAAATCTCTATCAGGGAACAGCTGCTCACTGTTCTACACAAATATAGAACAAGAGAGCACCTGATCGAATTAAGAGCGAACAAAATTAGTGTTTTTTTGGTCACATAACGTGCAGCTGACATGAAAGATAATGTGCAGTGACAATGGCCAGTAACATTAAACCATAAGGAGAACATACCGGTAAGCCCTGATGGATCAGGGCAAAGTCCCAGTTAGTCCAACATTTTGCTCTCACACATTGCAGCCCTAAGCACACTTACCAAGGGGGCAAAGCCCTCTGAACACAGTATTTTGTTAATTTAGTTCATTCCATTTATGAATTGTTTCCCATAAAATATATCAGATTGATTTCACAGTAAAACATCAACCATAAGAACAATTTTAAACAATTCCACATGTGTAAAAAACATTAAAACCAATACCACATATAGAAACAATTATTACAAACCCAGCACAGATACGGTCTATGATAAAGATCTCCACTTAAAAGGCCTGATGAAAAAGGAAGGTATTCAACAGGTGCTGAGAAGACAATAGAAATTCTTACATCTTATGGGATGGACTTCCTAATGAGATGGTATCTGCCATTTCCCTCAGAGTGCAGTGATCGATTGGATATATATGTGGTGAGACTGTATTTTAGGTTTCCTAGTCTCAAGCAGTAAAGAAGTTTGTACACCAGTAACAGCACTTTGAACTTAGCTTGGTGGTTCATTAGCCACCAGTGAAATTCTTTTTGTAGCGGCATAACACTGTGGCAAGAGTCTGCCCCAGTGATTAGTCAAGCCGCTGTATTTTGCACTAGCTGCAGCTTCTGGGCCAACTGCAAGGGCATCCCCACGTAGCGTACATTGCAATAACCTAACCTGGAGGTTACCAGTGCAAGGACAACAGTGGTCAGATACCTCTCCTGGTCCAGAAACAATAGTTGTCTTATCAGCTGAAGCTGGCAAAAGGCAATCCCTGCTACTGAGGCCACATGAATCTCTGGTAAGAGAGCTGGATGAGGAGCACCCTCAGACCAGGAGGATGTTACTTTGGGTGAGAAGATTTGAAGCTGGCTGAGAGACCATACCCAAAGAGTGTGCATCAGTGGCTTCCTGTCAACTTGAAGGGAAGTGACAGGCAGGTGCCATGGGGCTCTCTCCTGACCCAGGATGTTTTGCTGCTTCAGGTAACACAGAAAATTCCCCCCTCCTACTCTTCCACAGCCCCCAGCTGCTGCTGCTGCTGCCCCTCCCGAAGGCCGTGGGGAGATAAAAGGAGACCAGAGAAGAGTGGGTAGGCACAGCAATAGAGGAGTCACACTCCTCAAGCCAGATCTGCCGCCTGAGTCAACTGCCTCACCTCGCCTCATAGGCAGACTGGCCCACCTTCTAGGCCTGGTGCTGTTAGACATCTTTATAAATGACTTAGACAAAGGATTATAGGAGATCCTCATTATATATACAGACAGCACCAAAGTGAGTGGGGTAGTCAGCACCTTAGAAGACAAAAACTGGTTCAAAATTATCTTAACAGGATGGAGAATCTGAGCCAAAGCTAACAAAATGATTTTCAACAGAGATACATGTTGTTCTGTATTTCGGAAGAAAAAGATCACATGTATGTATAAATACAAGATGAGTGACACCTAGCTTGACAACAGTATATGCAAAAAGGATTGGGTGGTGAATAGAAGACAAGCTAAACAATCTCAGCAGTGTGATGTGGCAGCTAAAAAGGCTAATGCAATTCTAGACCGCATCAACAGGAGTATAGTGTCCGGATTGCAGGAAGTAATGGTAGCGCTCTATTTCTGTTTTGGTCAGACCTCACCTAAAGTACTGGGCACCACAGCTTAAGAAGGATATTGACAAGCTGGACCATCTCCAGAGGACAGTGACGAAGATAGTGAAGAGCCTGGAAACCAAGTCTCATGAGGAAAGGTTAAAGGAGCTGTGTTATGTTTAGCCAGGAGAACAGATAAGAAGCAACATGATAGCCATCTTCAAATATTTGGAGGGCTATTGCATAGATAATAAGAGCAAATTTGCTACTCCAGAACATGGGACTTGAAGTAATGGGTTCCAGCTACAAAATGAAAAAGAGAACAAGAAGATAAGAATGAAACACTAGGAAGAACTTCCTGGTGCTATAAGCTACTTAACAGACTGCTTTGGAAGATGGTGAACTCTCATTCATTGGAAGTTTTTAAGCAGAGGCTGCTTGACCACCTATCACTATCAGGGTTGCTGCAACAGTGGATTTCCTGCATTGGTGGGGGGTGGACGAGATAACATTGATGCCTCTTCCAAGTCTATGATTCTGTGCTAGCATGAACCCTTTCCCTGAAAATGCTTGTGAGATTGTTTGTTTAGTTTGACAAATTAGATCATTATTATTAGAGAGATGCCCATGCTGCAAGATTGACTTTGCATGCACCCATGTTTTTTTAAAATCCACCGTTTCTGAGCTGCCCTGTGTACTCTCCACTTTGATCTGTAATTGTTTTCTACTCTGTATAAAACAAGGCACAGGAACCCCTCCAGAGTGGATTAAGTCTGTCAAATTACAGACAATTTATGGGGAATATAAAAGGGATTCACTTTCCTCCATAATCTCTGGGGTTGGGGAAGTGGAGGGTTGTCTCTTCCCTTACCTTAAAATAATCTTTTTTTTAATAAAGAAAATTGCCACTTCATTCCTGCATTTCTTATCCTGGGTTAGTTTGTGTCCTCCGATAGATCTTAGAGCAGAGCAGATGGGAGCAAGAAGGCCTTGCATCATGAGGCTATCTAGAATGTTGCCTGTGGAGTTCTGAAGAAACATAGAAGTTGGAAGGAATCTTGAGAGTCATCTAGTCCAACCCCTGCAATGCAAGAATATGCAGGTGGTGTGCAACTTGGCGTTACCAAGAGCTCTGAGGTTTGTTGTTGTTAAAGCTGATCAATATAGGACTTAAAAAAATAAAGTTAAATTAAGCTTTCATCTTTTTAAAAAAGACCCCGACCCCCCCATTTCTGTGCTCCAACAACAACAAAACCCACTCAGAGCTCTTAAGTGCTCTGTGTGCAACATTTTGGACAGCCTTATTTCTTGCAAAAAAAAACCATGGACGGGAAAACCACAGCGATATAGGTAAATATAGAGCTATAAAACAGAAATACAGAATTAATAATACTGCAAAATCATCCCAATTCACAAGGTTATTTGGCTCCTAAACCAAGTCAACGCACACCCCCTATTTATATTATTAAAGCTTCCTTAATGACATTTTGAAAATTAGGGTGGCTTTTGTTCTGTGAAACCACAGTCAGCTAACTGGGATGGGAATATGGGGGCCATCTATTCTCTTATTTGAGTCTTTGAAGTTTGGGAATCCAGGATTGCTGATTTTGATTAGTTACAGTCTACTGCTTCCTGAAGTCTGAACATGGTAAACAAGTGTGGATCTATAATCATTTGCAGTGGGTGAAGAGAGCAGAGCAGATGGGAGCAAGAAGACCCTTTGCCTTCCCCATCAGTGGCTAATAATCCAAGCACACAATGGATGCACGGCATTCCTGGGCAGTTCTTTGTTCTTCCTTCTCTCCACCCTTCTTTTTTATTGACCTTAATGAAAAAAATGCAAAGTAGGCTCTCTCATTGTTGCTTCTCTTTACTAGTACACAAGCCACTCCACATGACTTTGTCCTCAGATCAAATGGATAATGCCAATGAAGGCAATGCTAAAATTGCACTGTTGAAAAGAGAAGAGAGCAGGGGAGGGCAGAAAGCACCTTTGTTCCTAGTGGTTCTTCCTGATCCCAAAGCACTGTGCTGCACAGTGGCTACTACCTGATTTTCCCTCCAAGGCATTCAGTCCCAACATTTCATTCAAGGAGGGAAGCATATCATTGCCATGTTGTCTGAAACACAGAGAATTAATTATGAGAGCTGTAGTTTTTGTTGTTATTGTACCTATTGCCTTCCATAGGGAAGATGTGTGAGAAAAAATCAATTTCCTTTTCTTCTGGTACTATTTGATTTTTCTTTTTACTGACATTATGTGAATTTCTATACATTATACCTCACTGGCCTCCTCTCTGTAGCAGTGTAGTTGATTTTGGGGAGGCTACTGTGATATCCTTGGCATGTGGTGAGAGTTTATACTCTGTGACTTTGGGTCATTATATTTATTCTAAAGGCTGAGGCATAGTCTGGTCTGAGGAAAGGTCCTGATAACTGGTTCCCCACCCACATTTCTATAATACAGTAATAAAGAGGCCTGTCGTTCTGTGAAGCTGCATGTATGTGTGCACAAAAGGGGACCTTTCCATTGTATACCTTCCATGATTTCATTGATTAAAGCAGGAGCAACTGAGTTTTTTCAATACCTATTGTCTCATATCAAGGTTTGCTGCCTGAATGCAACACGTGAAGCTTTTCTCTGTCTGTTGTATTCATATATGAGAACCTACCGAAATGAAGTCAGTTACCTCAGCTAAGACCCAGAAAAACTGAGGGGGGAAAAGAAAATTATGAAGTCTAATATGTTTCCCTGTTATGTCCTTGATTGGCCTTGGTCCAAACATACTATGTGCCTCTTTGGTGCCTTCATCTCCCCCCTTTCCTCTGCTTCCCCCTGCCTCTTCATGGCAATGGTGGTGGCAGTGACAGTCCCTTCCCCTTCACCGGCCTACATATTTCATTTGACATTGCTTTAGTAGTGGTAGTGATACCAAGGCCTCCCTTTGGTCTAGGAAGGTGAGGGGTAGACAGGTTGGTGGGAAGTGGTGGGGCTGGTTAGGCAGTATGTCTTCTGGTTGTCGTTGCCAGCATCAGGTGTGGTCACCATAAACTGCATGATACCCTTATTTGCTACCCTTCTGCCCCAGCATGTCCTTGTCTATATGTTTATTAGTTGTGCAGAAGAGTGATTTTCAGCAGTGCAGATTGTTCTGCAGGGTTGAAGAAAAATACGCATCACCTGAAAGCCCCTCTTTGATAACACTAACCCTGTCCCCCTTTGCATCCTCTTTCCCTAAAATATGTTATGCCTGAGATTCATGCGATTTGAACAATTCAGTCAGTAGTCACAAACCCTATATGGTCAGGCCTCAAAGGTACGGCACTCTGTTTTGAAGTGAAGCAAATTGTGAAGCCAATTTGTCTTGGACTGCAGACTAAATGTGATTTAATTTCATTATTAAATGCATTAAGAATATTTCTCAAAGTGGTTAACATTAAAGAAAATCCATACCATAAAAATTACATACCAAAGAAATAAACAGCACTAAAACCAAAATGCAGCACTAAGTGATCTTTACAAACAGCAGAAAATGTATGGGGAAAGCCACTGAAAATAAAGAACTGTATTGTTACAAATCAGACAGGCAAATGGCCAATTACTATCGTTACATTTTTAAAAACAGATTTGACCAAAAATAAGCATTAAACAGCAATCAAATTATAATTTGCACAAAGAGAAATGTAAACAGTTTTACCGGTGATAGATAACATTAGCTGAAGAATAGTGATGTGATGCATTGTTAGGAAAGTTTTCCATGACAACAAGCACTTTTCCACCAAAATGATAAATGGTTTATATGCACTGCTGTAGGATAGAAACGTAATATTTAACAAACCCTCTAACTAACCTGCTGTGATGTGTTAATTTTTCATCTGGATAATGTGCCATACTCTTGTGAACCATCCTTAGATTGAGCAGCCTGAAGGTATTTTCTAGCTTTTTGCTGTTTCCATCCAGGCCACCACCAACAGAAATATATAAATATATTCTATAATGTCTTAGAAAATGGATAACGGTGTTAATAGGGGTCACATTTAATGTTACGTTTCAACAAGATGATACAACAAAAATTAAACTGACAGAAAAACTGATTATAAAAGGCAAACAGAAACAGAAACTGTTTGCATATACAGTGGCACCTCGGGTTTAGAACTTAATTCGTTCTTAACCTGAAACTGTTCTTAACCTGAGATACCACTTTAGCTGATGGGGCCTTCCACTGCCACCATGCCGTGATTTCTGTTCTCATCCTGAAGCAAAGTTCTTAACCTGAGGTACTATTTCTGGGTTAGCGGAGTCTGTAACCTGAAGTGTCTGTAACCCAAGGTACCACTGTATGTATTACAGTACTGTCACTGTACATACTGTAGTCAAATTCTGAAGAGGGTATTTCTCAGGGTCAGATGCTAACAGAGTCAGGAGATACTGGCTGACACTGTTTTGAATGCTTGTGTTCAGAAGAAGCACACTAAATTACTAAGAATTTAGATGTTAACACACAAGTAGGCAGGAACTACAAGGAATCATGGGAAGAACGAGTTGGGAAAGCGCTGTAGCTTAGTAGTAGTAGAACATCTGCTCTTGCAGAAGGTTCAACCCTTGACATCTCCAGGTAATGGTGGGAGAGACACAGCCAGTCAGTATATAGACAATACTGAACTAGATGGACCAAGGGTCTGGCCTCAGTATAAGGCAGCTTCTGGTGTTCCTACATTGCGCTCTACATTGTTGCTTCCACAATGACTGGCGCATGACATCCACAATTACATTGGTGATGAAGAGTGGTTTAACTCTTGCTGCGACCCCAAAGCCATCATTGGTGAGAGCAAATGAAACTAATGGGCTTGTGCTATGAGATGCAACTAAGGCCTTCCTAACATTGTCCTACATTCTGGTTCATTGTGTTACACTTATTTTCTCCCGGCCAACACAATTCCCAACCACCCCACAGTGTCCAGGGTTAGCATGTTTATGCCACCCTTTGCCGATAGGGATATTCCTTAGTGCCATGAGAGAAATGTGCAACCCTTTGTTGGATGGTTTGAGGAAAGGATATTCCCTAGTTCCATGAGAGAAATGTGCAACCCTTCGTTGGATAGTTTGAGGAAAAGGTGAGATGGTGGTATTCCAACCTTTGCTATTTTCGTGCAAGTGCCTCTCCTATAGTGCCATCTCCAATTCCGGTGTCAATTGGACAAGCAGAGAAACAAGCCTTGCAAGGTACTCATGACTATAAAGAAAACTATGAAGACATGAAAACAGGAAGAGGGGAATCCCGAGGTTACTGGCAAAGAGAAGCCAAATTTAGCATTATGCACCATGTCAGCAGAATGGTCTATTTTTAGTCATAAAACATGTTTGATATTAAATGGCTATCCAAGGAAGCCATCTATGTAATTTGAAATCTTGCATGTTACATTTTGAACCCCGTGTGGTCTCTTGCAGAACGTTTGGCCATTTGGGGATTACGGAGGCCAGTTCTTATAATCGTACCTGCATAGCTTAGGAGGTTTTGAAATGGCAGATCTGAGATGATTCATATTTTGAAGCAAACTCTGAGTCACCGTAGTGTTAGAACAGCTCCCACTCAAACCAAGGAGTTCCATAACAATTCTGTCAAAGAACAACACCTACTTCAATAATGCACTGGTCGAACAAAAGTAAAATCCTACTTATCACCATAGAATCTGTAAGTTCAAATTGAGAAAAGAGGTCAAACCCAGAATGTTGTAGCTACATATAAAAAGCAGATGACATCAAGCTAGCATTAGATATTTTCATCTTCGGTGGTATATGTCAGCTGATGATCTCATGTACCTTAGCAAGTAGTTAAGAGACACAGACTGAATTTGGCTTATTTTGGGAATTCTGTGGTTTGATCTACAATATTCTATTTTCTGATTTTGACCAATAAAAGGATGGTCTGTTGGTCAGTCTTTTAAAGCGATG